TCTCTTAAGCTTCCATATCCTCTATGAAGAAACAAAAAACTGTAAGTATCCCAAGGACTCCCATTTTCCAGACACAAGCCAGCAGGCCCCATTTGTTGATTTACCTCTCTAAGACTGCTGGGAAACAACATTCAGGAGAGCCTGAATCAGACACCATTCAACCAGTACTATACTACTGGGCACAGCTGAAAGGCGTGCAAGGGCATACCTAAACACAACACCAAAATACTGTCACTCTCTTCTCTTGTTTCTCTCACATGTTAGTTCTCTGCTGGGCAGACAGAAGTGAAAAAGGCAAAGAAACGGGCACATTTTGTCTGTTTTGTCCCTGCACACCTTCTTCAGAGTCAGCTTGTTTCTCTGTTCTTGAAATCAAGATCCACACAGTACCTGAAGACAGGAAGTAGAAAAATGGCATCTTACTAATCATGTTCTAATCTACACAGAAAAGAAAATCTAAATTATTGACAGTTAAAACAATCCAGTCTGTGCATTCCACAGAATAAAGTGTTTGGCCACAACATCACATTAAAGATTCCTGCTTCAGCACACCTTCCAATTACTATCCATGTACAACACACCCACATGTCCTAGCAGCGCCTTTGCAACTGCTAGACTGTCAGTGTGAACAGGATTTAAAATATCCCTTGTCTTTGAGCATATTGCAGCCTTTTATCTTTTTTGACTCTATATAAAATGGGAGAAGAACAGCTCACTGAGCTTCTTATATGTCCCTGAGCCACCCACTTCCTACAACGTCTGTGCTGACACAAGCAGGAAGGCAGCATGCTGCCATGCACAACCAGCACCCTGCAGTTTCAAGCAGGACTCAAACTGGCATTGTTGATGAAGGACTTTGTAGCTGGGACCTACAACCAGGGCCAGAGGGTTTATCTGCCTGCTGGGTAGCTAGGTTGGAGTTTGAGATCTTGGGGGCTCCACATCTCAGAAAGGCCCTAGACTGTCAGTTCACCCCCAGCAGCATGGCTACACCAGAGCCCTGGCACATGATTGCTCCTGAGGGATAACATAGACAGTCACCAGTAACAACAATTTTATAAAGGATTTAAAACAGGCTTTGTTTTCTACATATGGACTATTAAAACGTGACTCCATCACCTTCAACATTTGGTAGTGTATTTCTCAAGATAGCTTGCTCCAAATTTCAAGGTCTAATAATCTACAGAGGTCAAAAATAGGCTATCAGGTAATATAAGGTTGCTACATCCATTACACAGAAAGTTAGAGAGGGATCAAGGTAATCAGAAAGCCCTCATGAAGGGTGAAGAGAAAAATGGCCATCATGCCTTCAGGTCAAACCAAGGAAAGACTGGTTTGTCTCATCACAGTTGTACCACACTGCTGTAAGACTACCAAGTTTAATTCAGGCTGGATATTTCCTAAATTTTATTTTCACTAAAAATGTTTTAAGCAGGTCACAAAGTGGCACTAAAGGCTGTCCCAGCACAGGTCTGAGCAGGGACATGAGGGATGTTAAAGAGAATCCTGTTTTGTAGCATATTACCAGGAACCTGAAGCAATCATATTTGAAATGTCTCTGCAGTACTTTAGGCCATGTGTTGCCACTCTTTCCTTGCAGTAAGCAACATACCAAGCAGAACACTTGATTTGCCTGTCATCACAGGTAACAATGGCAGAGTATTTGCGGAAGAAAGATCTCATGACCAAAATTATGTCAGTCTTCCCGTTCTCTGTGGTAAATCACACTCCTTGGAACAGACCCAGGAAAACAGTCCATGGGGTAAGGTGTTTACGCTGTCAGCCTTTTTGTGACATAGACATGCCCAGGGTGATGTAAGCCACCAAAAACTCATTGCTTCTGAAAATTCATCTACTACTTGCATTCCTTCAATAAGTATTTTGCCACCTAATCTGAAATTTGTGTTTCTGCAGATCTTCTAGTGGAGATTTTATTTGTTTTTCCTAATCTTTTTCATGAGCCTACCTTGAACAGTAGTCCCGTTGGCATTAACACAATCCAAGGACACAGAAATTCTTTTTATTCTGGAGAGACTTATATGTTGGGCAGACAAATAAAGCCCCTCACTTCTGTATGATATTTTTTAAATAGAAATCTGCTTATTCTATAAAAAGAATCTGTCACTGAGAAGCAGTGTGACTGAAAAGGCACAGTAGCTGAAAACTGAACTTTATTGAACTAGATTCAGCTTTAAGTCAATCAAAACAGTAGTTCTTTCTGTGTGAATTAAATTTGCCCAAATATATGACACATTTACTATTCAAACACAAGTCCATTTACCCCTAATACTAAAAGTTATGTGACTTTTAAATGGTGTAGGTACACTGAATTTTCCCACTTCACAAAACAAATTTTTACCCAAATTAAGTAAATAAAACAATAAAAATTCTCAGTAAATTTCTAGTAAAATTTTCAACTTACATTAATTACATATTATATTGTTATCAATATATGTTTAACTATTTTCTGTATTATGGAAAATTACCTGTACAGAAAAAACCACTTTGCTTGCTCTGGTATAAACAGTAATTAAAATATTCAGTTAGGCTTAATATTTAAAAGCAGCACCAGAAAATTTTATCCCTGTATTAATATGCACATGGTACTGCTGATTTTATTCTTCAGTTTCCAAGTTAATATACTGAAGCTTTCTACCAAAAAGAATTTGCAACAATAGATTGTGATGGTAATAAGGAAAAAGAAAAGTACAAACATGCCTTTCCACTCATTTTCTAGATAAGCTTCATTTTCCATATAATTTTTTAATTGATGGTTTTATGAGTATTTTTCCATGTGACTTTATGCAGCTATTTTAGAAATACCCTCTTACCCTAATCTCTTAGTACAGATTTCTGAAATATGTACAAGGGCAAGTTAGAAGAAAACACAGAATGACTCTAAAACATGCTGTCTGAGGAAGGAAACAGCAACAAACTAAACAGCACACAACAAAACAAGTGAGCATTACGCATTGTGATGAAGTCCTCAAACTGGAGTTTTATGATGGCAGCTTAAAGTTTCTTACATGCCCTTGTGTTGCAGCTCAGAATAAGCCAGGGACAGCTGCACCAATTCTCCACAATTAGTCAAGGTCAGACAGTGGAAAGGGAGGACACTCACTATTTGTCAAGAGAACAATGGCAGGAGGCTCAGCCTTTCTCCAGCAGGAATGACTGTTCACTACACACATTCAATCCATGGCAAAATTATGCCTGGCCCTTTTTCTGTAGAGTAGAGAGGGGCAACCTTTCCAGACAATCGAAGTGTAAGAGCTAACAAGGCAGAGCAACAGCACAAAAACAAGCTTGTTTTAAGTACCAAAAGCATATGTTCTTGACACAAATTAATGTTTTGACACTTGCAGAGACAAAGGTATTAATTTCTACAAGCTTTGAGTAAAAAATACTAAACCCACTAAAACCTGTTTTTTCACACTACTACTGGGGTTGCAGATTAAAAAAAAAAAAAAAAAAAAAAAGGCATTCTGACAAGATGCCAGCAATTATTTTGCTTACTCTGAGAGGTTTTGTGTGTCTTGTTTTGTTTTAAAATTTCTTTTTCATAAACCTGAAACATATTCAGAAAAAGAGTAAAATTTTGGACAAAGGCATTTCCCTCAACATTGGTAGGTAACCAGAGATGAAAAACAAGAAAAGCAATTCAAACTATCTGCCATTAGCAGGAGGAGCAAAAAAAAAAAAGAAAAAAACCAAAACATTTTTAACAATGAGATTTTATTTCCCTGTTTAATTAGGTGCAGTCAGAGCTGGATTTTGAGTTTTCTTATGACACAGCACAAATACAGAAAAGACAAAAAGTAGTTATAAATAATGAATACAAAGGAGTAGTTTTGATGCAGAACTCTCACAGTACTGCACTGGAATAAATGGATTTAATTGTTTAAATTCTGTTACTTGTGTAAGTGTGGGGTTGCCGAATAGGCTGAAATTATTATATGAAACTATATGAAAACCACATTTTCAAACAGCACACTATACATTTAGATATATTAAAATTATTCACATTTACTGCAAACAGTATCTAAGCAAGGGTACAGCAGTTCTGAATGCTAACATACTTTTAAGGTTTTTATCACATTTGCATTCATCAAAGCCAAATAACTTTGATATACTTAAGGCGAGAATTCTTACAATTAAGAAGTTTGAAAGCATTACTTAAAGTACATATAATTAAAAAGCATCAAAGAGCAAACACACTGTTTCTGGACACCACCTGAAAACTAGATCACATTAGCTTTGGAAGAAAGGAATTTCTCCTTCAGGTAGTTTTTGCAGCTACTAAGGTGCAGAAGCCACACCTGTAGTTGCACACTGCCATAAAAGAAGGAAAGATGGAAATCTATGAACATTTTTATCAAATCCTTCCTCCCCAGTCAGAAGAATTAAGTCAGCCTCAACCATACTGACTTCTTTCTCTGTTTCTGTCCTGCAGACACATCCGAATGTTTAAAAATATCTCTTTTTTTTAATGTTCACTATCTGTTTGGGGGGTTTTTTTACTCCAAAAAAACTTTTCCCCTGTGATCAGAAGCAGCATCAGCCCTGCAGTTAAGGAACCATCTGCCTCACCAGAAAAATTGATTCTGGAAAGATTTAATAAGAGGAGGAAATGGGAAAGATTTTACCCTAACTTCACATTCCAAATATCCTACTTTCATAATAAATCTCTACTTAATATCTGAAAAACAGGTTTAGCATATTAATTTTAGAATATCCCTTTTCACCTGGAGCGATTTAGAGAAATACTTTAAATTAGCATAAATTTAGTTCTTTGTATATCTAAGACTGAGATTTCACTGTAGGAACAGTGCCTGCTAATTGAGACAAGAAATTGGTGCACTACCTTCTAATTCTAAATCCTTAATGGCACTTGGCTATTGCATTGTTTACAAAGCAAGGCATCCTTGACTGGTTTCTTTATCACATTTCCAATGTCAACTGAATAAATTAGAACAGGAAAACGTCAGAGTACAATGTACCTTTTCAAGCCATTTGGCTTACTGAAGCAGGATAGATTCAGGCAAAAATACCTCTTTTCAGTCTGGTGGCTTTGCAGGAAGTTTCTTCACGTTTAGCAGTCCCTTCCCGTCCTCTCTTTCTTTAGAAAGCAGCCCTGGGAGGCAAATGACATTTGTAAATGGCAGTAACCACTTAGGTCACTTTCAAGCTGCTTGCCATACACCTTCTCTACTGATAGGTACAGGCACTACTTCCTGTGATAAGAATTTAAACCTGAAATTTGTTCATGCTAATCTTCCTCTCCCCTGATCCAAAGCAGAAGCTCTTCACCATCCTCCTCTCAGTGACTCTCATCCATTTGCTAGAAGGTGAGGACAGGCACCATGTGAAAATAGTGCTGATCAATGGAAAATAGACAATGTCACATAAACTGAGCAAGGAAATGATTAGAAAAAGGAAAAAAATAATTTGTTAAGTTATTCCAGTCTTTTCACTAAATCTATCATAAATCAAACAGACCAAAAACCCCACTTGGGAATTACAAGATCTGAGAAAGAACTTATTCAAATGAATTCATCTAGCTAAGGGCAACTGTTATTTAACTGCATATTTTGAATTTTTCAGTACGAAAAACTAGATATTTCTATTCCATACTGACTTTTCACATATTTGGATGCTGAATTTTGAAACCTCAGAGCACATTAGGAAATAATATTTTGTGGCATTATTGAGAGGATTTTTTCCCAAATGTGTCTACTGCCGTATCTGGTATCAGTTCCTGACTGGTTTGCAAATTTTTGCACATAGTCCAAAAATGGATAAGTATTTCTTGAAATTTTTATCAGGTATAAACTAGGAAAGTGACAGCATTTTACGTAAAAGGGGAAGGAAGAATAATAAAATCTATTTTAATACTGAATAGCTAGTAGCTTAGAAGATATTTTTATATTATTTTAAAGTTATTATGTCAGCTTTTCTCTAAATATGATTCAAATCCAACTAGAAATATTTAAACTTAAAGCAAAATCTTTTAATCATGTTCTTTCTGAACACTGTGGCCTTAGAACATCACAAAAATATCTATTCAAAAATACATGTTCCTCACAAAGAGTTAATAAATGCTTTTTACATGATTGCAGATTAAAATTGTCTAAAATTCCTCAGTTCATAGCATAATTTAAAGACAGACATGTATTCTGCTTAAAAATAGCTCTAAATTTGATGGATGTACAGTTTATCCACATAGTAAATAAGAATACAGCAGCACCAAGTAGTTTATAAAACAGAAGTCACCAGTGGTAAATAAAATGCTATAAACAACATTCAGAACGGTATCTGACCTGTCATTTTGATAGTACATTTATGCATTTGACAGGGACTGTCTTTTCCTAAAGAGGTTAATAGAGTCACATTTATGTATCACTGAAGTTGAACTGATCTATACAGACTGTCAAGAGAAGGGCAGATGGATAGGTAAATTAGAAAATACTAAAATAACTTTCTCACTACTATAATAATGAGGGAAAAGAGAAAGAACTAGGACTCTGAGAATCATTAACTCGCTTCTGGTACCGTTCATAGTGTACTAACTTAGGTCCCTATCAATCCAGAGAGCCTGAAATACAGCAAAGTTACCTAAAAAGACCTGGGCAAATTATAAATGTATTCATAGCTATACTCTAGACACATTCTTAATGCACATTTCTATGAACAGTAAACATCACTGATTGCTGAATTCATCCGTTCCAAATTCTACACTGTAATGAAAAACCTCTGACATAAATTGGCTTAGAAAAGGGCAAATTATTCTAATCAAGGCATTATGGACAGATCAAATAAAACATCTTCATTTAAAACTAATAAATCTATATTTAGCTTAACAATATTCATTACTAAGAGAAAATACTTATGCAGGCAAAAGGCAGTTGACACAAAATTACATCATAAAACAAATTATCATTGGAAAAATTAGTGTTCTTTAATGATGACAAGAGTGTTCATATAAAATCCTGAAAGTAAAATCTAGATATTCTCTGTAATTTGATACTAATCAATATCAGAAATTGCACTGTGAACTACCCCAATTATAGATAACACTGCAACAGTTACACTGTAGACTGTACAGTTACATAGAAAAAACTGAAAATAAACTTTTAAAAAAATTATTTTCATAATTCAATTGCTTAGCATGTATTACTGGACATTAGCAGGAATTTCTGCTACTATAGATCCTATGTTTTGTAGAAACAGACTTTTAATAATTTCAGTCTTATCTGTTAGTTGCCTTGAAAAGAAGAACATAAAATAGGTGCATCCATCAAAGTATCTAATTTAAAATTCAATAGTTTAAAAAACCCTGATTTTTGAATCTGCATTTACAGGCTATTGCCTCCAACATCTGTAAAACCAATGACTAAGATAAGACCTCAAGTTCTGGTATTTGATAAAGGGCCTTGACCTTCAGAGGACAAGTGCTCACCACTTTCTGAATCATTAAGTAGAAAATTAAGGGCTGTGTTCCTCCATCCTGGCAGAAGCATACCATATGATTTAGGTGATGAGTCACTGAGCTGGAATTTTGACGATCAAATATTCACAATGAGATCCTTGAGAATGAGTTACAAACCAAGACAAGAATTATCCACACAAGCTCTCAGGAGAATAATTTTGAATAATGAGCACACATGAGAGTCTTTGCTTATACAATCTGTGAAGAAAAAAAATATCAATTGTAGAATACATTATAAAATTAAAATTATGTATCTGTCTTTAAAACATATTTGCTACATTATAGTGAACTGTAACTCTGACTGTAAAGGGACTGCCCTTTGTATTTCCAAGTGCAAAGTTTTCACAATAGCCATGCACTGTAAGAATAAATGTCTGAATGGAAGTGATGGTGCAAGTTTATTGTGGAACAAAAAAATATATTGCTTCTTTGATCAAAGATCAGGCCTAGAGTAACAATGAAAACACACACAGTCTGGGCATAGATTAGAAGTATTTCATAAATCTGGCAGAAGTGAAAGCTGTCACTAGTTTCTTTTTATGAGCTTGTTTGATGAGAGTAGCCTGAGGTACCAATTAAAGGGAGTTACTTTATGACATTATTAGTGCAAAGTGTGTTCAAAGGTGAGCCTATTTGTCATGCCTGATTAGCACCAAGTATGGGAAAAAATTAAAATGGTAACAAACCAAGTAAAATCTGTTTTTAAAAAGATCAAGTCAAATTGTTTTGACTTTCACTTGTTCAAATACAAATTCAAGTTGCTCAGAGCTTTGTTTTCTTTTGCAGACTTTTTGCAATTAGGATTCAGAATACAATTTCCTATCATTCCACAGGTACCGTGACAGATATTAATACTACAGTGCAGCTAATTTTACTGAGTATTTGTGTGGTTTTGATTTACTGGACTTTCTAATCAGGCTGCTATTTCTCATTCTAAACCACTTGACTGATTTTCTTACCAGCCCTTGACTGGAAAAAAAAAAAGAGCATATAAACCAAAATTGTCAGCAATAAAGCTAGGTGGCAACTAGGCTGGCTACCTACATTTTGCACAAATCTCAAAATTTCCTTTAAAAATTCCAAGGCTCTTGCAATCTTTTCTAGAGAGTCTAGAAGAACAATTTCCATCCCAAAGTCAGGACACCATATGAAACTTTGACACAAGACCTTCTATAAATGTAACCTTTTCCTAGACTATAATAGTCAGTGGGGCTTTCCCATTTCCTTGCTTCCTTAACTAAGAAGTTTTATTAATAACCTCCCAAAATTCCTGATTTTGAAATCTGAAATTAATCAAAAGTCATTGTTTCAGTATTTTTCCCCTTTATTAACAATCTATAAATCTTTCTTCCCATCCTAGGGTGCATCAAAGAAAAAGTTACAGTCAAACTCAATCATATTTGAGAAAGCTCATAGGGATAAGATGTACCTATTGATTTCTATACTAACCCTCAAACTTTTTATTATTAAGTGCAATCTAAAACTGATTGTGTTAAAATATCACCCTTTAGTCATAAAATTTAAACTGTGAAATCAACTCCTCTTGCCCTCTGTCCTAAATAGGACTCAACAGAAGCCAGAAAAAACCAGCATCAAACTTTCATAGTTATCTCCCTTCCTCTACAATATTAAAAACAACTTTTCATTTTATCGTGAATCCTAAATATATGCCTACATTGTAGAATTCTGTAAGGTGAACAGCATTTCTGAGACAGTGATGCTCTACATGAAAAAAAGGTGCTTGAACCTAGTCCAACATTAAAACAGTGGTTGTGTCTAGTTCATCTTAATTAATCAGGAGGATGCAGATACAGTATATCCATGCCATGTACCAAGAATCTACTCTCAATTGGTGTGCAGTGCACAGTCCCCTGCAGATGTGCAGACCAAGCACAAAACGCACGTGACTGGCTAGCACCCTATTTTATAGAGGGATCTCAACAAATTGAGATTTGCTCTTTAATATTTTGTGCCTGCCCAATAATTAGTGTTGAAAAGTTTGTTTTCTATTTCTACACTGTTATAAAAATACAAAAGGTGTTTTCATTAAAACTACTACAGAAACAGACTCCTGCCACTGAACTGTATATGCAGCTCATGTTCTTTCACAGTTTCCAAGGGAAGAAGTTATGGCATAATGCAAATCATATTCTCAGCTAAGTTTTTTCCCTAAAAAATCTTCTGGACATTAAATGTGCCCTTAAATATTCACTTTGGCTGCCCAAAACTAAAATAAGCTGGAATTCCAGTGTAAGATGAGATCATTCCATTCAACTGCACTAAAAAAAAAAAATAATTCAGAAGCCAAATAAACAAAATCCTAGTCGTCAAAATGAAACATTTCTCTCTTGACAGAGAAGAATCACAGAATCACAAGGTTGAAGAGATCTCCAAGATCATCAAGTCCAACTTGTTTCCTGACACCTCAACTAAACCATGACACTGAGTGCCACATCCAGTCTTTTTTTAAGGACATCCAGGGATAGTGACTCCACCACCTCCCCAGGCAGACCATTCCAGTACTTTATGACCCTTTGTGTGAAAAACTTTTTCCTAATATCCAACCTATATTGCCCTTGACACAGCTTGAGACTGTTACCTCTTGTACTTTCAGTTGCTGCCTGGAGAAACAGATCAAACTCCAC